AAGGAAGGAAGGAAGGAAGGAAGGAAGGAAGGAAAGGAGAAAAGGTGGAAAAGCTGGGGGCTCCTGTATCTCCCTGTCAACCCAGGCATTCTTAGCCACATGAGGGCTAACCGGATGAGTGCCATGACACCTGATGCAAAATCAAGCTCGAGTGCACAGTTCTGAGAACACTGCCCAGTCACAAGGACTCAGGACCCTAAAGAGACAAATGACAGGTACCCAGTGTGGACTCTGAATCCACACTCTACTAACAGGGCTCTTCAGCCAGAACACCTCTCTGCAAGAGGGACAGTCATTACATTTTGGTTTTGTTTGTTTATTTGTTTTAAGACAGGATCTCTCTATGTAGCCCTGAGGCTGTCCTGGAACTCTCTATAGACCAGGGTGAACTCAAATTCAAAACGGTGTGCACCAGCGCACTCGGCCTCTGGTTATTTCTTTTGGAAATTCGGAAGGCTTGGCCTCACCTGCTTCTGAGCAGCAAAGATGACGTTCATGAAGTTCATGTACTGCAGCGCGCTGTCCTCTGCAGCCTTGATCACCTGCGAACACAGCCCTTAGACCTCAAGGACCTCCCATGATTCACTGTGACATGACCTACTGCATACACACCCTTAGACCTCAAGGACCTCCCAGGATTCACAGGGACCTACTGCAATCCACAGACAGTACAACTTCTCCAGTCCATTTTCCTACTTAGTACTAAACCCCTGAAGTATAAGGTGACACCAGATCTTTCCTGGTCCTTGTTAAACTGATGGGCATCTGTTCAGAGTACCCAGCATGCACTGGGAGGCTAGGAGAGAACTCCTGGGAGTTAGTTCTTTCCTTACATGTGGGTCCTGGGGACTGAAGTCAAGTCATCAGGCTTGGCACCAGGCACCTTTCCTGTCCGAGCCTTCTCCCTGGGCCAAGAGCTCTTGACTATACAAATATGAATTTTCTGTAAAAGTAGCAATGTTGAAAATGCTTTTCCAGAAGCCTTTGTGGGACAGGGTGTTACTATGCAGCCCTGGCTGGCCTGGAACTTGCTATGTAGACGACATTGTCCTTCAACTCACGGAGCACAGCCTGTGTCTCCCTCCCCCGGTGCTGGTATTAAATGCATGTGATAGGCCCATGTTTCCCAGTTATCTGTCTGCAGTTATATGTGAGTTGTGTATAATCTTACCAATATCCTTGATTTCATCTCCTGATTATCTATAAAGAGATCAAAATAGATTATAATCTAACAAACAAGATAGCTTAAAAAGCATGTGGCTTTCTGAGCAACTTTTATTTTATATTATTTTGAGATAGGGTCTCATTAAGCAGCCCTGACTGGTCTGAAACTTGCTATGGAGACCAGGCTGGCCTTGAACTCAGAGATGTGCTGCCTCTGGCCCGAGTGCTCAGCAATTCTTAAATACCCCACCAAGCATGCAGCACTAAAAGCAAAGGGTGAAAGATACAAAAGAGTCAGCTCCTACCTTTAACTGCCTTGTTCACTCTGTGAATGTCTGGGTGCATTAGCATTAAGGAATAGAACGATTCTGTTTCACAAACACCTGCACTAACAGGAAAACAGACCTTCAGACTGTAAACCAGCCCTCCCAACTTCTGCCATGACAGCCATGTGGGTAGGCTTGGGTTGTTACCCATTCTATACTCACCAAGAGCTCTGCATGTGAAGACCACAGTTCCGACAGCTGACTACCCACCATCTTGGATACCAATACTAGGGCCACACCCAAACCAGTCAGCCCATCCAGTGAGATCATGAATTTGAAAGCCATACAGAGAAGATCGGGACAACTGGATAAAACCTCCAGGATGTAAATGGCACTCAGTACTGTTCAAGGACATTTCACAAAAGCAAAGCTGCCCATGACACTTGAAACCAGGTGCTGGGAAGAGTCTGGTTGCCCTGTGCTTCAGGCCAGGTCACCTGCTCACCGACAGTGTACCACTCACTAATTACGAGGTCAGGAAGCAGCTCTTTTTTTTTTTTTTTTTTTGGTTTTTCGAGACAGGGTTTCTCTGTGTAGCTTTGCGCCTTTCCTGGGACTCACTTGGTAGTCCAGGCTGGCCTCGAACTCACAGAGATCCACCTGGCTCTGCCTCCCGAGTGCTGGGATTAAAGGTGTGCGCCACCACCGCCCGGCGGAAGCAGCTCTTAAAATCAGTTCATGAGATGTCAAGCCAAGGAACAAGATCAAAGCAAGCACCAGGCTACCAGAGCAAGAGGCAAGAAGCTGGAGAGACAGCTCAGCAAGTCACAGCACCAGGTGCTCGTGCAGAGGACCCAGGCTCGGTTCCTCGCAGCTACACGGTGGTTCAAAACCACCTGTAACTCCAGCTTTACGGGATTTAATGCCCTCTTTGACTTCCCGGGTACCAGACACCCACACTGCACACAGAGATACACACAGGCAAAACATTCATTCTTAAACTAAGGTAAACCAAACCAGACAAAAGAAACAAAGCAACACCTCACCCGGAAGCAGCGCCAGGCTTTTCAGGTGGCCATGGGAACATCCCGCAGGGCCAAAGGAGCTACTGCACATGAGCATTGTAGAAGAAGGTCTAGGAGAAGCCACCAGCTAACCACCCTCACTACAAAAGACCGCCTGGAGACACCAGCACAAGGATACAGCAAAGGGCTTTGGCGAGGGATCCCGCTAGCAGCGTCTCCGTGTGCTGGCCCTTTATGTCACCTGCAAGTGTTAAGAGCACAGAAGGGGGACATTCTAAGTCTTTTTTCAAATGAAGTCATTCTGAAACTCTAGTATTCATGAATGAATCACAAGATGACACGTTCAAAGTGGATTTCAAAACACAGAGACCAGCAATCAGTAAAGCCAAGTGAGCTACTCCACGCCTCTTTTCAGAGAGTCTAAGTGTATATTTAGGGGAAGGAGAGGCAGAGGTGGGAGGTGGTATTTAAAGGACGAGGAGGGACTGGAGAGGGGACTCAGTGCTGAAGAGCTCTGGATGCTCTTCCAGAAGACCTGGGTTCAAGGCCCAGCATCCACACGATGGCTCACAACCATCTGTAACACCAGTTCCAGGGGATTGGATATCTTCTGGCCTCCACAAAAACAGGCACACGTGGTGCATAGACACACATGCTGGCAGAGCATCCATACATTTAAAGTAAAATAAACCAATCCAAAAAGGAAAAAAATATGCCAGGCGGCGGCTGCGCACGCCTTTAATCCCAGCACTTGGGAGGCAGAGGCAGGGGGATCTCTATGAGTTCAAGGCCAGTCTGGTCTATAAAGTGAGTTCCAGGACAGGCTCCAAAGCTACACAGAGAAACCCTATATCAAAATAAATAAATAAATAAATAGATAGATAGATAGATGGATAGATAAAATAAAGGACATGGAGTTTCATTTAGGATAAGGGTCTTGAGACGGACAGTAGGATGACCCTGGAATAGTGTTTGCACACCTAACACTACTCAACTGTACACTCAAAAACAGTTAAAATGGAGCCCAGTGTGGTACACACCTTTAATCCCACCATGCTGGAGGCAGAGGCAGGCAGATCTCCGTAAATTTGAGGCCAGCCTGGTCTACACAGCAAGCTCCAAGCCAGCCAGGGCTACACAGGGAGATTCTGTCTCAAAAAATTTTTACTGCTTTGGAACTCAATTTTTTTAAAAATTTATGTGTATATGTGTATGGATATGTACACATATGTGCATGATGCCTACAGCGGCCCAAAGAGGGTATTGGCTGCCTGGAGCTGGAGTTACAGGAGGTGTTGAGCCTCCCTACGTGGTGCTGTGAACCAAACCTGGATCCTCTCCAACAGCAGCAAGTGCTGTTAACCTCTCAGCCATCTCTCCACCCTAGAAATCAATTACTTTTTGTAAGTGTACAGCTGAGTGCCCACCACCACGCTCTAATTGTACAAAAGCTTCCATCATCTGAGACCATGGGGCCCACATGTCCATCTCAGCCCTGGGTCACTGTCAACCCCTTATCATCTCTAGAGTTCCTTTTTCCTCCAGGTGACCCCTGCAGACCAAAGGCTGAAAACCATGGCAGGCTACAGGGACACTAGAGCCCTGGGCTTGGAAGGGCACTCTTGATTTTTAAGATGGTAACACTGGAGAGTGTGGTGATTTCAATGTGAATGGCTGCCACAGGCTCATAAATGCTTGGTCCCCAGTTGGAGGAACTGTTTGGGAAGGACTGGGAGGTGTGGCCTTGTTGGAGGTGTGTCACTGGGGGTGGGCTTTGGGGTTTCAAAAGCTCAAGCCATTCCCAGTTAGCTCTCCTCCTAATCTGTGCTTCTGGAGTAGATGAAAATTCTCAGCTACTGCCCCAGCACCAAGCCTGCCTGCCTGCCTGCTACCATGCTCCCCACCATGAAGGCATGGGTTCTGTACCCTTTGGAACCATGGGTCCCAAATTAAATGCTTTGTAAGTCATAGTGCCTTATCACAGCACTAGAAACCTAACTAAGACAGAGGCTGAGTGGGAAGACAGCAGTGGGAAGTCGGAAGTCCAGACCTGAAGGAGTCTGTTAGAATAAAATAGCAGCTCTCATATAGCACTTGTAGGGCACTCTAGCAAAGTCTGAAGAGGTCCTCCGGGCAGCCACAAGTGCAAGGCCTGGGCTATGCCAAGTGTCCCACAGTGTGGTATTTCATCTCAACAGTGTTGAGGCTGACACTGAGGACATAAAGGGGTTAGAATTTGGAGGCATCTCTGAGACTAAACTCACAAGAGTACATAGCTGATTAGATGGTAGATATGAGAAGAAAGGAATCCAAAAAGAAAGCTTTGACTTGGGAAATTAAAAAAATGGAGGGACAGACATAGAAAACAGGATGGTGGAGTCACAGCAGCCAAAGAAAATAAGATTTAAGACATGTTAGAGGCCAAGAGACAGAGAAACGGAGATGTCTGAGCTTAAAGTCTGTGTTTGAGTCAGGCTGGGAAATGTTGCCACCTAATCATGAAGGGCAGGGGCTGGAGAGATGGCTCAGTGTCAGCCACAGCACTGCACTGGCAGGAGACACGGGGTTGGTTCCCAGCACACACCAGGCAGCTGACCCCTGCCGCTGGCCCGCCTAGGCACCTGCGTGCACACTGCATACACCAACTCATGTAAGCACACAAGTCAGCATTTAACCTTTTTCTTTTTAAAGATTTATTTTATGTGTACGAGTACTTTGTATGTGTGTCTCTACCATGTACATGCCTGGTACATGGTGAATCAGATCACCCAGAATTGGAATCACAGATGGTTGTAAGCTGTCATGGGGGTGCTAAAAATAGAACCTGGGTCTTCTGAAGAGCAGCCAGTGCTCTTAACCACAGAACTCTATCTCCAACCCCTATAAACATAAATTTTTTTTTCTTTCTTTCTTTCTTTTTTTTTTTTTTTTCAAGACAGGGTTTCTCTGTGTAGCTTTGTGCCTTTCCTGAAACTCACTTGGTAGTCCAGGCTGGCCTCAAACTCAGAGATCCGCCTGGCTCTGCCTCCCGAGTGCTGGGATTAAAGGTGTGCGCCACCACCGCCCGGCAAACATATATTTTTCTTTAAAGAAATAAAATAAGTAAATTTAATCTTGAAAATAAATAAATAAAGGAAGGCAAGCATCCATGGAAGATTTGAGATGTATTTTAAGGGACAAGGTGAAGGCAAACCAGACATTGAAAAAAAAAAAAAAAAAAAAAAAGAGGCCGGGTGGTGGTGGCACACGCCTTTAATCCCAGCACTCGGGAGGCAGAGGCAGGCGGATCTCTATGACTTTAAGGCCAGCCTGAGCTACAGAGGAGTTCCAGGACAGTCGGGGCTGTTACACAGAGAAACCCTGGGGGGGGGGGGAGTTCAAGGTCAGCCTGGGCTACTTAGGGAGGCCCTGTCTAAACAGACAAACAAAACCCAAACAAGACTAAGAAAGAATAGTTGAAAAACAAGAGAAGAAAAGCTGGTTAGCAGTGTGTCTTCCTGGAAAGCCAGAGTATTCTGGAGCCAAGGAGGATTAGCAGGGCCAGTACCGGAAGGTCAGATAAATATCACATTGGCAGGGGGTGGGAATGACCTTAAGAAGGAAAAGAGGCACATGGCCAATATCAGCAGCCTCAAATCTTTGAGCTTAAAGGCTCCATTACGTCCCAAAAGAGTCTCCATGTAACCGGCCCTATGGCTCAGGGACCGTTGTGGAAATGGGGCAGGGCAGCAAAACCGTAAGAGTCAAGGGTCCAGGAGGACCCGGCCAAACAGTGTTCGGACAGGACAGGAAGCTGCACTCGGAAACACAGCAGCTGTGGCGGCCTACATAACCCCTACCCAGGTCAGGCAGTCAGCACTGCAGCCTGGGGGAGGGGCTCACGAGCCTCCCCTAGCTGAGGAGGAGCCAGGAACAGCTGATGGGCTGGTGGGGTGAGCTTGGCTCCAGGAAATGGCCCCATACCTAGGAGGATATGGGCAGCAGAGGGGGTTCTTTTAGTTGAGTTTTGTTTGTTTGTTTGAGACAAACTCTCTCTCCATAGCCCTGGCTGTCCTGTAACTGGATATGTAGCCCAGGCTGGCCTGGAACTCACAGAGATCTGCCTGCCTCTGCCTCCTGAGTGATGAGATCAAAGGCGTTTGCAACCCTTGCCAGTTATATATATATATATATATATATATATATATATATATATATAGAGAGAGAGAGAGAGAGAGAGAGGGAGAGGGGGAGACACAGTTGGGAGGGGTGAGGAGATAGGAGGACTTAGGAAGAAGAATGGGGTTGGCGAATATCACCAAAAGACACCGTACGCTTGTATGAAATCCTCAGAGAACTGACACAGATTTACATTTAAAAGCATACAACAACCACTGTAGGGAGACGACAGTGACAACAGCCAGGCTCTTACTCTTGGTCATCAGGTCTTTGATCTCCTCGGCGATCACCTCATTTGCGGCTGTCAGCAGCTCATACTTCCCATCTTTACTCCCAGAGGGATTATAGTCAGGAATGGGGTTGCCAGGGTCCCCGAAGAAGTCTCCGAGTCTGCCGTTCTTCCCCGGGTATAAGAACCGACTGCCAGGGTAGAGTAACCAGAATGTACTACACACATGTAGGGACCGTCAGAGAACTAGAGAGCAGCCCCAGCAGCAGGGCCCCCAGCAGCAGAGCCCCCAGCAG